CATTAATATGGTTAGAGTAATTTGCTTAAGCAAAATATTACAGTAAGGTTGACAATTTGAGTACATTTCCTGAAAAATAACTAAATTATAAAGAGTTTTTGAAACACTTCCCCTAAAGATATGTGAAAGCATTTATTATAGGTTTGACACCTTACACTACATTGCTGCCAGTTGCTTTTAGGGAGGGTCAAGATGGTGAAAAAGCAGCAGTTATCTGTGAAAGGAGCAGTGACAAAATTCAAGATACTTCTTTGCCACACTCATACATAGTAACGTAGCATGCTGCATTCTTTTTCTTGGGGAGATATTTTAAAGCCACATAGTTTCCATGTGGAAGTGATTTCATCTCCTAATTAAAATCACATTTATGAATAAAAGCAGAGGAAGGAAGCCAGCTTGACAAGGATATCCTACCAAAAGCCAGGGTAAGTGGGAAGTCTTTGAAGGACATAAGATGAAGGTGGTTGGAATTTGAATTTGGAAGGAAGTGGTTTTATAGACCTTGTTTTGTCTTGGTTGTTTTGTGGCCATTATTGGAGTGGTGTCTGAGACTCATTATGGGTTTGGCTCTGACATATTTACAGGGAAAGAGAGACAAGGTTTACCTGAATTTGGTAGCAGCCCCATTGTAGGTTAGACAAAATTTACCCTTTACCTCTTATGAAGAATTAAATTACTTACCTTCTAGAAATATTCTCTGTATAATATTTGAACCATAATATTTTAAGCCATTAGGCTTTTGAAATATAGGCTAAAACTTTAAAGTTTCCTAAATACTTTCAACATTGAATTGTGAAATGGAAAAAAAGAAGAAAGGGGAAGAGTTTTGGATTTTAGTACCTCTGCAGTCATTGTTAATCAGAACTGAAACAGAAGAAAAGGAAAAAAAAAAAAAAAAAAACAAATTCACTGATCGAATTTGAGTACATTAGCTCTGTCCATGCTACAACAGATTTATAGGGTAGTATTTTCTTTTAGTTTCTAATGAACAAATTTGTTTGACTGTTGTGGAAATAGATACATTGATAGCTAAGTTTTAACCAAAAAAGAATGATTTAATTAAATGATCATTGTCTTTTGAGTGTCTATTAATAGTTTAATACTATACATAAAAATAAACAAAACAACACAAGAAACAATGTGCCTAACAGCAAGATTCCTTTATGGTTGAAAATCAGCAGTGTGTGTAATGGAAAGACTGAATCCAGGTTTGCTCAAGGTATATTTGAGGCTGGCATTAAAGATTCATTTAACCTTTGAGTTAAATGAACATTTGCTATTTCCATAGACTTACCATGGATGATCAAAATCAAAAAATAAAACCCACATGCTTTTAAAATTATATATATGTATATATATACATACATACACCTACACATACACTTATAGGAACATCTTCCAAATTGAGTTTTGTCTCATTATAGATTATTTTAAATAGAATAATATACATTCAGTTTTGGAGGCTTTGGGGCAGTTTATTATTCAAGACGTGTTATATTGACACCCTCAGTGATCCAATTCCCAATATGAAAAGAATACTAGAATTGGAATTCTGTTTTAGGTTAAAGATGTTGTGAAAAACATCTGCAAAATGAATTATAAGTTTCCTCTTAGACTTTTTCACGCTGTGAGAAAATGGAATATATTTTGTAGCTTTATTAAAGTCTCTCATTGGTTTCTGTTTAAAATTTTTAAGATGAATACATAAATGAATATAGAACATTCTATGTGAATGTGAGGTTGAGAAGCAAGAGACAGAAAGGAAGAAGGAAAGAGAGCCAGCCAAGATGGCAGATTCATGACTGAGGTTGAGGGCAAGAATACAGCAAGTTAACCAGAGCTTTCCCACCAACTCCCCACAGCTCTAGTTACCCTCCCTCACCCCAGCCACATTCTTACTTCTCTTTAGCTCTAGTCTGAGAAATTGGAAGGGTATTTTAAAAATTAGAGTGTGGAGGAAAATAGTTTTCTGAATCAGAATTTCAGAACCAGAAATAGACTTAAACATCAGCAACTACCCTCACAAAATTTTCAGATGAGTGAATTATCCCAGAAGAAGATAAGTGTTTCATTGGTCAGCAGAAAAAGCAATACCTCTGGCTGGGCACAGTGGCTCACACCTGTAATCCCAGCACTTTGGGAAGCCGAGGCAGGCAAATGGCTTGAGCCCAGGAGTCCAAGACCAGCCTGGGCAACATGGTGAAACCCCATCTCTGCAAAAAAATTAAAAAAAAAAAAGAGAAAGAGAAGAAAGAAAGGAAAGAAAAGAAAGAAAAAAAGAAAAGGCAATACAGCATGAAAGACTCCTGACTTCCAGTTAAGATTATTTTTATGGCCACATTCTGGGAGAGTGATAGCAAAAATTAAACCAAGAATCTCTTTGTGATGAATTTCTCCTCTGTTGGAAGGGATACTACATCTGCCACTGAGGCAGAGATTGAGAAAGATGCTTAAACCAAACAGGGATCTTTTTTAAAAAAATATTTATTTATTATACTTTAAGTTCTGGGGTACATGTGCAGATCGTGCAGGTTTGTTACATAGGTATACATGTGCCATGGTAGCGGTTTGCTGTATCCATCGCCACGTCATCTGCATTAGGTATTTCTCCTCATGCTGTCCATCCCCAATCCCCCACCCCATGCTGTTCCTCCCCTAGCCGTCCACCCCCTGAAAGACAGCAAAATATTGCCTGAACAGAGGAGTCATTTGATATGATATGAAGTTTACCCTTGATCTTTTTAGAGGTAATTTTAGAAGTCCTCATCAGACAAAATCAGTCCCTTTCCAGATGGTGCCTTATACACCTAATGATCCTAGAGAACCAGATCCTGTGTCCCTTGTGTGTTGCCCTTCTTTTATGTATATTTCAAGCTCTTCAGATTGATTGTGAATCTTTGGCCTTAGGTTGCACTTGATGTCACAGGTCTTTCTGGTTTCATTTATGTATGCGCAGGGGAATTGACTTTTCTAGTCTTTGAAGTTGTGTTAATACAGCTTGACCTTCTAAATCATGCAAAACTCTCCCAGACCATTTTAAACCCCAAAGCTTCAATAGGAGACATTCAGAGAGAGGGAAAAAAAATTCTTTTGATAGTCAACATTATTCACAATTCTTTATTTCAGAATTTAATGTATAGATATATACTTTGATCTTACCAAATTCACCTGTCCTGAAGAGAAGCATTTTGCTACATGTAAGTAAAGATACTGATGAATATCATAAATATATGTATGTAAAATCCTATGTATAGTAATACAGTTATTGACAGTATATGGAGTAGTAATATAGTTATTGACAGTATATATGTGTGTGTACATATGTACTGTCAGTATATATATTCATATATATATACACATATATACTGTCAATAACTATATTACTATACATGGAGTTTTCCATTATGAAACATCATTCAGTAAATATTTATTGAACACCTACTATTTGACAGACATAGTGAGTTGGCCCTGAAAATTTAGTGGTAACAAAGGCAGAAATGTTCATGTTCTCGTGGAGCTTGCATCATTCTCCACAAAATTATGCCTTTAGCAAGGAGAGTAAATAATTCTGGGCTCTAGATTCTCTTTTTGTCTAAAAATGTATGAATGTAATCTTTTAATTAAAATATAATATATACACCAAGAAGTACACAGATCAAGTATACAGTTCAGAGAATGTTTACCAAGAAAACACACCTGTAAAACCAGCAGCCAGGTTAAGAAACAGAACATTACCAGCTCCTAGAAGCCCCTTTAAAATACTTTTCTAGTTACTAATCTTCCTAAGGTAACTAATTTTCAGACTTCTGACACCATAAATTAATTTTTCCTTGTTTTGAACTTTGTAGAAATGGAATCAGTGTATGATCTCTCATGTCCACCTTCATTTGCTCAATAATATGCTTATGAAATTCATCTGAGTTGTTGCATGTAGTTGAGTTCATTCATTCTCCTTGTTATATAGTACTCCATTGTATATTAACATTCACTTATCCATTCTATTATTAAAGACATTTGGACTATTTCCAGTTTGGGGCTATTACCAATTCTGACACTATTAAGGTTCTTGTGCCTGTCTTTAGGTGGCTGTTAAGTATATACCTATGAGTTGGAATATTGGATCATAGCTTATGTATGTATATTAATCTGTACTGCATACCGCCAAGCACTTTCCCAAAGCGTTTATACCATGTTATAGTCCCACCAGCAGTGAATGAAAATTCCAGCTACTACATATCCTTGCCAAGTTTAAGGTTATGTGCTTTTACATTTTCATGTGCATTTTAAGTTGAAAAAGTAAACTAGAACCACTGGAGCTTTGTGATAAACAATGAGACATCATAAAGTTTATAGCAACAGTTCTAATCCCTTGAATTTTAGTCTATGCCAATGATTCAGGATGGTATTATATTGAATTAGAAACTCTGCTTAACTCTTAATGGAATCAAAGTTACTGTTTGCAATAGAAAATCCTGCCAAAGTTTGCCTTTCTTACATTTGGAGTTGTGGCTTTTTCGAGTGAGCAGTGTCATACCACTTTTGTTAGCCAGAGGGCCAAGTAAGAAAAAATTAAAAAATATGTGCAGTCCACATTTTTAAATTCAAAATGGAAATGACTTTTTTGAGACACGGGGAAGAAACATACATTTGGTTGTGAGATAACCTACCATATCAAGTGGAAGACTGGAAGTGGGAAATTTGGAGCAACTATTGGCTGGTAAAATGTTAATATCAGACCATATTTGGGAAATGGCTGTAGGGAGACAGCTGTCATCCTGAAATTAGTTTGTCAGCCACATTGTAAAGCTAGGAGGGCTAACTTCTAGACCAAGACCTTTAAGAGGGGCTGTTTTAGCAGCCCACCCTGACTTTAACGCTTCCCTAGGAGGAACTATAAATATAACGGATCTAGGCCCAGGCCTATTATGGAAGCGCCAGCTGAAAGAAAGAAGAACCTTATTCTTAGAAAAAAACACTGATGGTTTCCTTTTCCTTTTCAGTCCAAGATTTACACTCGCACACCAACCTTATATTTGGACTTCAAATTGGACCCAGGAGCAAAACATTCCCAGCCTATTCCTAAAGGTATGATGGGTTCTGTGGTTTAGTAATCATGCCAGGAAAAAAAAAAAAAAATGGCCAGGCATGGTGGGTCGCACCTGTAATCCCAGCACTTTGGGAGGCCGAGGCCGGCAGATCACCCAAGATTGGGAGTTTGAGACCAGCCTGACCAACATGGAGAAACCCTGTCTCTACTAAAAATACAAAAAATTAGCCGATACGGTGGCACACATCTGTAATGCCAGCTACTCCGAAGGCTGAAGTAGGAGAATTACTTGAACCTGGGAGGTGGTGAAGGTTGTGGTGACCCGAGATTGTACCATTGCACTCCAGCCTGGCAACAAGAGCAAAACTGCATCTAACACACACACACACACACACACACACACACACTCAAAAACCAAGGAGCTGTTTTCTCTAGAATGTGCTTGTTTCTGAAACTCAGCACAAAGTTCTATGAACTGTTTACATTTAATTATGTTTAAATTGACAGATATGGCTGGGACCTTCCAAGTTAAGAGAATCAGGAAGAAGCCGGGCACGGTGGCTCACGCCTGTAATCCCAGCACTTTGGGAAGCCGAGGCGGGCAGATCACAAGGTCAGGGGTTCGAGACCAGCCTGACCAACATGGTAAAACCTGGTCTCTACTTAAAAATACAAAAATTAGCCTGGCATGGTGGTACACACCTATAATCCCAGTTACTTGGGAGGCTGAGGCAGGAGAATTTCTTGAACCCGGGAGGTGGAGGTTGTTGCGGTGAGCCGAGAGCATGCCATTGCACTCCAGCCTGGGCAACAGAGCGAGACTCCGTCTCAAAAAAACAAAAAAAAAAAAAATCAGGAAGAATTCACAGAATGTTAAGGCCAGACCTGTGGGCCATACCCCTCAATTTACATGTGTGGAAGGCATAAAAGATTGGTCACTTGCTCAAAGCCACTCAAAGACTTACTGGATGATGTAGGGCAAGGAAAATACCCCTGTCTCTTGACTTTCCAGCTCCTATTGACTCACAGTATTCCTGAAAGCAAATTTGGACTTATGTTAGTTATAAACAAGTGCATACTTGATTGAGATACAGGTTTTGCTTGATACAAGTGTTGTTATGTAAAAGCTACCTTTAGATTGACATTTGAATACAAAGAATAATTAGAAAATTCCCAAGTATTTAAGGCCTATTTTGTTCTTTTAAAAAAAATTCTGGCTATTTTTTGATAATTTTTTTTTCCTGTAGACATGGGGTCTCACTTTGTTACCCAGGCCAAAGTGAAGTGGCATGATCATAGCTCACTGCAGCCTCAAACTCCTGTGCTTAAGTGATCCTCCTGCCTCAGCCTCACAAGTAACTGAGACTACAGGCATGTGCCACTATGCCCAGCTAATTTTAAAATTTTTTTTTGTAGCGACAGGGTTTCACCATGTTGCGTAGGTTGATTGCAGATTTCTGGCATTAAGTGATCCTGTGCCTTGGCCTCCCAAAGTATTGGGATTTCAGGCATGAGCCATTGTATCTGGTCTATTTTTAAATAATTTTATTTTTTTATTAACACATAATAGATGTACATATTTTCTGGGTACATGTGATAATTTAATACATTTGTATAATTTATAAAGATCAAGTCAGTATAATTAGGATATTTCTCACCTTAAATATTTGTCTTTCTGCTAGAAACATTTGAATTATTCTTTTCTAGCTGTTTAGAAATATACAATAGATTGTTGTAAACAATAGTTATCCTACTGATCTATCAAACAGTAGGTCTTATTTCTTCTATCAAATTGTATATTTGTACTCATTAATCAATCTCTTTTTATCCCACCCTGACCCCTACCCTTCGTGTTCTCTAATAACTATCAGTCTTCTTGAGATCTTTATGAGATCCACTTTTTAGCTCTCACATAAGAGTGAGAACACGGAATATTCATCTTTCTGTTCCTGGCTTATTTAACTTAATGTCCTCCAGTTCTCTCCATATTGCTGCAGATGACTTTCTTTTTATGGCTGAATAATATTTCATTATGTATTTATACCATATTTTCTTTATCCATTCAGCTATTGCTGGGCACTTAAGTTGATTCTATGTTTTGGCCCTTGTGAATAATGTTGCAATAAACATGGGAGTGCAGATATTTCTTTGATATATTGATTTTTTTTCCTTTTAAATATGTACCCAGCAGTTGAAGTGCTGGATTATATGGTAGTTCTATTTTTAGTTTTTTTGAGAAACCTCCATACTGCTTTCCATAATGATTGTACTAATTTACACCCCCACTGACTATATACAAAGTTTTCTCTTTCTCCACCTCCTCACCAGCATGTGTTATTCCCTTTTTGATAACAGACATTTTAACTGGGGTGAGATGAAGTCTCATTGTGGTTTTGACTTGCATTTCTCTGATGATTAGTAGTGTTGAGCATTTTTTTCACATACTTACCGTCCATTTGTATGTCTTCTTTTGATAAAAGTCTATTCCGAACTTTTGCCCATTTTTAAATTAGATTTATTTTTGCTATTGAATTATTTGAGCTCCTTAAATATTCTGATTATTCATCCCTTGTCAGATAGGTAGTTTGCAGATATTTTCTCCCATTCTCCACTTTTTTTTCTTTGAGGCAGAGTCTTAATCTGTCACCCAGGCTGGAGTACAGTGGCGTGATCTCTGCTCACTACAACTTCTGCCTCCTGGGCTCAAATGGTTCTCTTGCCTCAGCCTCCCAAGTAGCTGGGATTACGGGTGTGTGTGCCACCAAACCTGGCTAATTTTTGTATTTTTAGTAGAGACAGAGTTTTACCATGTTGGCCAGGCTGGTCTTGAACTCCTGGCCTCAAGTGATCTGCCTGCCTTGGCCTCCCAAAGTGCTGGGATTATGGGTGAGAGCCACCACACCTGGCTTCATGTTATTGATTGTTTTCTTTGCTGTGCAGAAGCTTTTCAACTTGATATAATATCATTTGTCTGTTTTTGCTTTGGTTGCTTGTGCTTTTGAGGTCTTACACAAAATATCTTTGTCCAGTCCAATGCCCTGGAGATTTTCCTCAATGTTTATTTGTAGTATTTTCATATTTTGAGGTCTTAAATTTAAGTCTTTAATTCATTTTGATTTGATTTTTGTTTATGGCAAGAGGTAGAGGTCTAATTTCATTCTTCTGCATATGAATATTCAGTTTTCCCAACACCATTTATTGAAGAGACTGTCTATTCCTTAGTGTATGTTCTTGGCACCTTTGTCAAAAATGAGTTCCATTGGTCTATGTGTCTGTTTTTATGCCAGTACCATGCTGATTTGGTTATTATACCTCTGTAGTATAATTTGAAGTCAGGTAGTATGATGCCTCAAGCTTTGTTCATTTTGCTCAGGCTTCCTTTGGCTATTTGGGGTCTTTTGTGGTTCCGTATCAGTTTTAGGATTCATTTCTGTGAATGAGATTGGCATTTTGATAGGGATTGCATTGAATCTGTAAATTGCTTTTGGTAGTATTGTCACTGTAATGATACTAATTCTTCTAATCCATGACCATGGAATATCTTTCCATTCTTTGTGTCTCCTTTTCAATTTCTTCCATCAGTGTTTTATAGTTTTCCTTGTATAGACTTTTCACTTCTTTGATTAAGTTGATTCCAAGGTATTTTGTAATCTTTCTTTGTAACCATTGTAAATAGGATTGCTTTCTTGATTTTTTTTTCACATTGTTCACCGTTGGTGTACATAAATGCTACTAGTTTTTGTATGCTCATTTCATATCCTGCAACTTTACCAAATTTGTTTATTAGGTTTAATGGTTTTTTTTTTTTGGTGGAGTCTTTAAGTTTTTCTTAGTATAAGATAATGTAATCTGTGAAGAAGACTAGTTTGACTTCTTCCTTTCCTATTTGAATGCCCTTTATTTTTTTCTCTTGCCTAGTTGCTCTGGCCAGGACTTCTTGTATTATGTTGAATGAAAGTGGTTAAAATGGGCATCTCTTCCTTGTTCCAGATCTTAGGGGAATTCAGTTTTTCAATTGAATTCTTTCATTTTTTCCCCATTCAATATGGTGATAGCTGTGGGTTTGTCATAATAAGGCCTTTATTATTTTGAGGTATGTTCATTCTATACCCTGTTTGTTAAAGGTTTTTGTCATAAAGAGATATTGAATTTTATTGAATGTTTTTTCAGCATCTATTGAAATAATCATATTTTTCATCTTGATTCTGTTAATGTGATGTGTCACATTTATTGATTGTATATGTTGAGACATCCTTGCCTCCTTGGGATGAATCACACTTGATGATGGTAAACAATCATTTTAAGGTGCCATTGAATTTAGTTTGTTAGTATTTTGTTGAGAGTTTTTGCATCTATGTTCATCGGCAATATTGGCTTGTGGTTTTCTTTTTTTGTGTGTTCTTGTCTGGTTTTGATATTAGGGCAATGCTGGCCTCATAGGATGAATTCAACAGTGAGGCCATCACATCTTGGGCTTTTTTTTTTTTTTTTTTTTTTTTTTTTTTTTT